CTGACACGACCCAATAACACGACACGACACGACACGGAAAAAAGAAAATGAAACAAAAAAGAGAGGGAAAATGAAAATTAATAAAAGTTGTGAGAAATTTTTTTTTTTTTAAGTTATTAACTTTTTATCACATATATGACATATCCCACTATTTTTATAATGACACGTAATATACTACTTCGTGTACCAGTCAATTATACGTACAAAATAAAGAGATTTAAATCTACTTAATAAAATAATATATATTATATACACACCATTGAACTTGATGGGATACGAATTATACGAAACTAATTTCAACGATCCAACCGTCAAACATGTTTGTATATACTTCGAGATCGCATACGCAAAAAATTGCAAAAAACAAACATTCAGAGAGCAAGTAACGGGAACAAAACTTTTCGACGGTTAAAAAACGAAAAATCACGATTTAACGGTTATTTTAACTCCGATTTTGATGATTTTTTTACAAGCTACACTCCTTGACCCTATATGAATACAATGATTGAATTCGATCTTCAATTTAAAATATTTACACTAGTGGATACCAAAAAAAATCTTATGTTATACTTAATAAAAGTATGAATAAACTCTTAAGTATTAGTGAATCTATTGTTTTGATGGGATACTCATTCTACGAAACTAGTTTCAATGATCCAACCGTCAAACATGTTTGTATATACTTCGAGATCGCATACGCCAAAAATTGCAAAAAAACAAACATTCAGAGATCAAGTAACGGGACAAAACTTTTCGACGGTTATAAAAAGAAAAATCACGATTTAACGGTCATTTTAACTCCGATTTTGATGATTTTTTACAAGCTACACTCCTTGACCCTATATGAATACAATGATTGAATTCGATCTTCAATTTAAAATATTTACACTAGTGGATACCACAAAATCTTATGTTATACTTAATAAAAGTATGAATAAACTATTAAGTATTAGTGAATCTATTGTTTTGATGGGATACTCATTCTACGAAACTAGTTTCAAATGATCCAACCGTCAAACATGTTTGTATATACTTCGAGATCGCATACGTCAAAAATTACAAAAAACAAACATTCAGAGATCAAGTAACGGGACAAAACTTTTCGACGGTTATAAAAAACGAAAAATCACGATTTAACGGTCATTTTAACTCCGATTTTGATGATTTTTTGCAGCTACACTCCTTGACCCTATATGAATACAATGATTGAATTCGATCTTCAATTTAAAATATTTACACTAGTGGATACCACAAAATCTTATGTTATACTTAATAAAAGTATGAATAAACTATTAAGTATTAGTGAATCTATTGTTTTGATGGGATACTCATTCTACGAAACTAGTTTCAATGATCCAACCGTCAAAACATGTTTGTATATACTTCGAGATCGCATACGCCAAAAATTGCAAAAAACAAACATTCAGAGATCAAGTAACGGGACAAAACTTTTCGACGGTTATAAACGAAAAAATCACGATTTAACGGTCATTTTTAACTCCGATTTTGATGATTTTTTACAACTACACTCCTTGACCCTATATGAATACAATGATTGAATTCGATCTTCAATTTAAAATATTTACACTAGTGGATACCAAAAAAATCTTATGTTATACTTAATAAAAGTATGAATAAACTCTTAAGTATTAGTGAATCTATTGTTTTGATGGATACTCATTCTACGAAACTAGTTTCAATGATCCAACCGTCAAACATGTTTGTATATACTTCGAGATCGCATACGCCAAAAATTGCAAAAAACAAACATTCAGAGATTCAAGTAACGGGACAAAACTTTTCGACGGTTATAAAAAGAAAAATCACGATTTAACGGTCATTTTAACTCCGATTTTGATGATTTTTTTACCTACACTCCTTGACCCTATATGAATACAATGATTGAATTCGATCTTCAATTTAAAATATTTACACTAGTGGATACCACAAAATCTTATGTTATACTTAATAAAAGTATGAATAAACTTTAAGTATTAGTGAATCTATTGTTTTGATGGATACACTCATTCTACGAAACTAGTTTCAACAATCCAACCGTTAAACATGTTTGTATATACTTCGAGATAACATACGCCAAAAAATTGCAAAAAAAACAAACATTCAGAGATCAAGTAACCGGACAAAACTTTTCGACGGTTATAAAATGAAAAAGCACGATTTAACGGTTATTTTAACTCCGATTTTGATGATTTTTTACAGGTACACTCCTTGATCCTATATGAATACAAATAATGAATTTGATCTTTAATTTAACAATTTAATACCCCTAAAAACTATAATAATTATATAATATAATTACATATATATATTAACTAATTAGATATATATTTACTAGTGGATTTCGTACAACGCGTTTTTGATCAAGTTCAATGATATATATATATTTACTAAATAGATTTTAATTTATTTATATAATACTTATAACACTTAAGAAATTGAATGATATATATATGTAAAAATAAAAATTTGTTGGTTTTTATTAGAAAAAATATATTATTTTGGGGTTTATGTAAAAAAAAATTGAATTTGAAAGCAGCAGTAAAGTCATATTTTCAGTAATTTTTATAATAATTGAAAAAAAAAAAAAAACTTTGCGCGACGCCTTAACATGGTCGTCGCGCAAAAGCACTTTGCGCGACATCAAATTGTATACCAACGTCGCGCAAGATATGATAAATTTCGCGCTCCAATGCAGTGAAAAAAAAGGCGCTTTTGTTTCAATTTTTCCTAAGTTTCGACTCTTTCCCGTATAATTAATAGACCTCTCTTCCCTCTTGCACTCTTTCGGCCTTTCCCTCTTTCCCATATAACCTCTTGCTCATCTATCCTCTCTTTCCCTCTTTCCCGTATGGTTCCCTTGCTCACCTCTCTTTCCCTCTTTCCCACCCTCTTCCTCACCTTTCTTTCCCTCTTTCCTGTATAACCCTCTTGCTCATCTCTCCTCTTTTTCCCGTACATATCTCTCTCCCTCTCATTCACAAGCTTTCCTCTTCACAATCACGAATCCAACCATCACCACCACTACTCTGTCAGTTGTCTCTCTCCCTCTCGTTCTAAACGACGGGCAGTGACGCGAATCTGGAAACTGACGCGAATCAAGTCCCAAATTCAAGGTGAGGGTTTCTGATTTTTTATGGGTTTTTGTTATTTAGGGTTTAGGTTCAAATTGCATGTTTGGGTTTTGTCAAATTGATTTTTTTTGTGATGTGATTCAAGTTGATTGTGTGAAGTTTTTGCAATTTTGTTGATTTGTATGTGTATTTTGTGTATGAACATGAAGGTGTTTTCGGTGAAGCTTTTGCAATTTTGTCGATTTAGGATGCGAAGGTGGACTCACATAACATAATATCAAATCAAATGTATTCAATAATCCAAAAAATTGGGACATAAAATATTGATTAACCTTGACAAATGCTTGTAAACTATAAATTCTTGAAGCTGTTGTTATCTAAGAGTCCTCCATGCACTTTATGTAAAGTAATGTGCTAAGACGCTACAAATGGAAGCAGTTGCTGAGCTCATTAGACTCAAGTCTCTCTGCCCCATTCTTCAAAGTCATCAACATTTGTTAAACTGTCTTTGTTTTTTGTTTTTTGTTTTTGTTTTTTGTTTTTTGTTTTTTTTTTTATGTTTGGCAGTTTTTATGAGTTATTACCAAAATTGATTTGAGTATGTAGAGCATAATTTGAGCATTTTTGAAATGAATCTGACCTTCACCGAAAGTCAAAGCCTTTGTGTAATTTCCCCTGTTTGTTTATAGAGGATATTAGGTGAAGCACATGCCTTTACTAGATATATTTAGGACCTTGGATGTACAAGTTAAGAGGGGAGAGAAGACTTGTAATTTACTCTTTGATGTACAAGTTAGGACCTTGGAATATACCATACATAGGAAGTTAGAACTCATGGGTGATTTACTCTTCTAGTCTCAGTTCTCTTTCTCTTCTCTGCTTTTCCTTTTCCCTTTAATTTTCTCATTTCTCTGTTTTGCTTCTCTGCAATAATTAAATACATATTCCAAGCATATATATGTGTGTGTATATATATGTATCTATATGCAAATATTGGAAGATTAGTTGGTTGGATGATGGATTGCAAAATGTTTGCCACTGCATTTTGGAATTTCCATTTCTTATTCTGTTTTAATTTTTATAATAGTTTTATTAGTTTAACCATATTAGTAATTTAAGTTTTTCTTTTTAAATGGATTAATGGGTTTCCTACTTTGCTTGATATCACAGTTCTTAACTACATATAACTAGATTACCGAAAATAAGACTTGAATTTGAGTCTTCATCCCTTGTATCGAAAAATGACTTAAATTTCATCTTTTTCTGTTGTTTAATGTCATAACTTATGTGATTTAGCTTTTCGTTCTGATTCTTCATATTGGGGAAGATATTGTTTCTTCTTTTTCATCATCCTCTTTTTGTATCACCTTATTCCTTGAAATAAAATGAAGTATCAACTCTAGGACAAGTAAAAGTTGGTGCATGGTAGTGATATCTCTGGACAGTAGCTGACAATAAGTGAATCACCAGATAGTGGCAAATTGCAAATGAATAATATCAGCCATACACCAGTGACATTTATTTTGTGTATCTAATTGTTGATCCACACACATCTACACAAGGTTGTTCATAAGGTTGTTGCATATAATTTGTTACTTGCTCAATTTAAATATACATTGTCCGTACTTTTTTTGAAATTAAGAATGTTGGTAACCTACTTATTACTTTGGTTGCTAATTGATTAGTTTCTAATGTTATAATTTTATGGTTTAAAAAGTGTATAGATGTCGCATTTGATCACTCGTCGTCGGAGTGTGACCAATGCGCCTCCCACATTATCAGCATCTACTGCTCCATGCGTGAGTGCTCCATTGAATGGGGAGCCTACTCCCTTTATTGAGGCTACTCCTACGGCGTCCCAGGTGCCTGTCTCATCGACGTCATCAGTGTCCGTTCACACCCGCTCAGTGCACGGCGGCCTCACCGGCGTCGTCGCGAGCCGGACCCTTATGATCACACTTCCTCAGCATCCAGGGTTGAGGGTGAGGCCTCCCAGCCAGGTAGTTTTTTTCTAATTCTCGATCACTACGTTGTATTTTTTTTTTTTCATTTTAAAAGTATTATTTTTATGATGCTGAAAATTTGCTAGATTGTGAAAATGTGTTGTGGGTTGTGAATTACTGTTATTTTAATGTTTTAAGGTTTTGGGAAATGCTTTACTATTAGGGGAAGTTATGTCGAATTTTCTGTGCAAATTTAAGCTTAGGGTTTTCACCATTTAAGTATTTTTGGCCAGCTAAAAAAAAAACTAGGGGGCCTAGTCGAATGCTGAAGCCAGCACAGAGTGTACGTTTGACTGGCTCTAAGATCAAGATTGAGTATGACCCGGTACATCGTGGAGCTGCTACAGCACAACAGCATAGCATCGTCGTTAGTAGCTGTGGTGTTGTTATTAAACAAAATTGTCCTATGCAGTGGGAGAAGTGGGCAGAAATTCCCGATAGGACGAAGGATTTGGTGCGAGACAAGTTGTCGGTTAGTATATTAATTTTTAGCCTTTATAATGAAGTTGTTTGTTAGTATATTAATCTTTATCCTTTAAACTACTTGGTTCTTCATAAAAATATTGTTCTTCTTGATGTTCTGTATATTCATTTTGACTTACTGGATTACTTAGGTATGTTTCGAATTTGGTAATGAAATTCAATCATCTAACTCTTTTATCTAGTTATTTAATTCATTTTGATCTATTTCATCAAATTTGAAATTAACTCTTATGTTTCTTTTTCAAATTCATAAGCTAATCTTATTGAATCTTGTTTATTATAATCTTGTACTTTATGCCATGTTTGAGTTGCTTGTTCATGAATGTCATTGGGTTCATAAATTATATTTACGATTCTTGCATTCTTTTTATCTAAATAAACAAATTCGAATTCAATATCATTTTTTTAGTTTTGTTTACAAATAATAAAAACCAAATTATATTATCTTAATATTATTAAATTTCTTATTATTATTTTATTGTTTTTCATATTCGTAGGTCATTTTTGATCTTGATGATATATCCCCCGAGGTCAAGGCCTACTTAGACGAGACCTTAGCAACCCGGTACAAACATTGGAAGAACTATCTTCACACGCATTTTCAGCTATGGGATACTTTGGAGATTGCTCGCCTAAGTGGTTGCCCAAGCGAGTTGAAGGACCGGCCAGAGGATTGGGAGTGGCTCTGCAAACATTTTACGGACCCAAAATTTGTGGTATGTACATAATATTTTAATAATAATTTCTTATTGTTTTAGTTATTTTTAAGGTTTTTTTATTAATTTATTTCAAATAGTCGCACTAACATGTATATTGTGTGTTTAACAGAAGAAATCTGTTGCTGGCAAGATAGCTCGGGAGTCAAAGACACTTCTTCACCATTCCGGTTCGAAGCCCTTTTCGTATAGGCTTGAGGCACGACGTCAGGTAAAAGTATATTAATTTAGAAATTTTATACAATTTATTTATTATTATTGATTAATAAAATTTTCTTAATGTTTTTTTTTTCTTCAGGAGGGTTCTAAGTTCCCAGAGATCGACATGTTCGAGGATGTTTACGTTCGACCTGGAGATGCGAACAGTGAGCATCTTCATGTAAGTAAATGTAATTGTTATTATTCTTATATGTATGCATGAATCGTTCAAATATTATTTATATATATGTTTTTTCTTTATTATTACAGGCTCTTATGGTGGAAAAGCGCACTGCTGTTATCCAAGAAGCAACATCGCAGCTTCCCCCTGAGACCCCGATTGAGGACGTCCCGGTACCCGAGGATGCAGGTTTTCAGATCATGACTGATGTCTTAGATCAGAACCTTGGTCGTCGTCATGGCAAGGTTGTTCGTGGCATGGGGAAAGCACGAGTTCGTGAGACTGGTGCCTCTTCTTCCAGATCGAACACCGCAGAGGTCGATTCATTGAAGGAGCAAGTGACAACCCTACAGGGTCAGCTTCAGGTCCAGGGCGAGCAGATGAGGGAGCAGATAAGGGCCCAGGGCGAGCAGCTGCAGGCTTATGCTGGCCAAGTGAGAGACCTTGTACGAGCCATACAGATGACTGGCCTCCAAATCTCACTACCAGTAGTACCTGATCTTGCTACACCTTCGACTTTCGAGCCACTTCACCCTACTGATACCTAGTAGCCATTTCACCAAGAAGATTACTTGTAGTTTTTTTCTTTTTCATTCGGACATAAACAATACATTTCCATATTTATATGGAAATGTATAAACCCTATATATATATATTATAATGAAATATTTTTCTTTGGTGCATTAATTATTGTTTATAATTGTAATTACAAAGAAAAAATAATATTTTTGACCATTTCTTCAAAAAAAAAAAAAAAAAAAAATCCACTTTGCGCGACGTAGTTTACGTCGTGCAAAGTCAAGCGACGCTACTTTGCGCGACGTAGCATACGTCGCTCAAAGTAGATTTGCGCAACGAAGGGTTACATGCGTCGCGCAAAGTTGATTTGCGCGACGTTTCATACGTCGCGCAAAGTAGCGTCTCTTGACTTTGCACGACGTAGACTACGTCGCGCAAATCCACTTTGCGCGACGACGGGTTACATGCGTCGCGCAAAGCCTTCTGTCACTGCCTTGCCGCGACGGTTTGCGCGCGACCAAGGTGAGTTGGGCAAGGTTTTGCGCGACGTTTTTTTACTTTGCGCGACGACTGACCTGCGTCGCGCAAAGTGTTTTTTTACTAGTGCACACCTTTTTAATAAGGGTTATGAGACAAATAGTAATAATCTAGAAAGCGATAAACTTTGGTATCATGATTAAACAGGACGTGAATATCAAGGGGTGTTACTTTTTGGCGGGAGAATGTTCACCACAGCCTCGTCCTCAGGCATGCAGAGGTTAAGAGGGGTCACCACCAAAAATATCCTTCCACTAATTACAAATATCTCCACATATATATTTATATCATCAATCATCGTCATCATACAGTATTACAAATAGTCAATTAATTTCTATAAGACACTATTAATTAAACCCTTTTGTTATTTTGCCCTTCAAGGTACAAGGTTAAGACATCATCCAATCCGCACCGTCCAATCTTCTTTCACTCTCACATAGATAGGATCGACAACCTCAAAGAAGTTCAACTTCAATTTCTCTTCTGGTCTCCATCACTGGTGGGTGGCAAGCTCTCTGGAGGTTACCTCCCTTCCCTCTCTCTCTCTCTCTCTCTCTCTAAATATTCATTGATTGATTTCGTTCACTTTCTTGAGCCATTTGAGCGCCTCCCCTTTTTTTCGGGCAAAGCTTTTGCAGCAATCAAGCCATCCACCCATCCCATACAGACACACTCTGAAAAGACAAGGGAAGAGAGAGAGAGAGAGAGAGAGAGAGAGAGAGAGAGAGAGAGAGAGAATGTATTTGAGGAGAGGGATATATAATATTAGGGCATGTGTTTTGTTAATATATATTTTGTTCGTTTGTTTTGCTTTGCTTCTTATTTAACTCCACTTCTCTGAATTTCCATTCCTGGCTACCCTCCACCTTTCCCTTTCCCTTTCATTTCCCTATTTTCCCTTCCTCGGGATCTGATCTCTCTCTCTTTCTCTCTGGGACTAGTACAAACAACTGTTTGAGAGGGGAGATTAGTAAGTTCAATTCCCGGGGATTTGCTTTGTTAATTTCTTGTTTGTTTGTTTGTTGACTGTCGTTCCTTTGTTTCTGTGCTTCTTTTTTTGTGTCTGCTAGTGGGATTTTTCTTTTTTTGTGTCTGCTGATTGGTGATTGGATACAAGGTTTATGGTTCATCAACCAGATCTGTATGCAGCAATTTTAACTTCCATAGGGTGTTGTCAAGATTACCAAGGTTGTTACCTCTTCCACTCACCTCCTCCTTTTTCTTCACCATCATCTTCTTCTTCTTTTGTTTCTCTTTTGGGTTTGATTTATTTTCTTTGTTGTAATGGTTTTGATTCATCGTGCAGTCACTGCTCGTGAATGTATTGAAATGATCCTGAATTCTTTGGTATTAAAGCAAATGAAATATTAGCTTGGCTTAGTCAAATATTGGGCAAACTTAAGTTCGTTCAAAATATATATGGTATATGTCTATAGTTCAAAATAGGTGCGATCTGGTTTTTTTCCAGTTTTTGTGGTGTGTTGCGCTTCATTTTTTTATATATAGCTGATATATAATTTGGCAAAATATTATCACATGTGGAAAAACACTAGTCTCCTTTGATTAGTAATTACCTTCCATGGAGCCATCTTTCAATTTTGGGTTTACCCGAGTGATCAAAATGATTTCTTTCTTTATCAACTTGATGGAGTTTTCATGTCTTTTAACCACATGGATCTATACTCTCCAGAACATGTCATTACCATATGGTTACATGAAAAACAAAATCATTAAGAGGAGTCCTACATGTATAATCATTTTGTTTCTGGTTATCTGATAACTTGCATTGGCTTCTTTTTGTTATCGTTTTTTATTACCACAAATATGTGTTTCATGGATTATAGTTTGAATATGTATCTTCCAATTCTCACAAGGAGCTATTTTCTGCATAATTAATACACATCTCTCATATATGTGTGTGTGCTTGGGTGTTCCTTTTTATTTTTTCTTTTTGATTTTAGTTAATCCTTTTTATGAGCTGACCCGATTGAACAAAAAAAATGATAGTTTCTTGTGGTGTAGACAAAACATTTTGTGTTTGTTTAACTTTAAGCATGATTATACCTTTCGTTCCCATCTTCTTAGTTTAAGTACTTGAATCTTAAGTCAACTTTTTGTCATACATTTTTTTTTCTTGGCAAATTTTGTGGCCATATTTTTCAGTCTCACAAACATCAATCCTTATGTTATAAACTTAAAGTGAAAGATGCCTCAGTAGTGGTCACCATGCTTGATACAAAAGAAACCCTTTTCTTTTCTGTTCTTCTATATTAAACAATATTTGATTTATACATAGGATAAAAGTTTTCACATCCCTAATGTTAGTATATAATTACACATTTATACAAGATTAAAAAGCTAATACCTTGAACGAATGTTACTAATGTACATACATAGTTCCAGTCCAAGTGCTACACGTCGGTCATCTTGTTTAAATTCTTCTTGCATGCCAATGTCAAACTCCTGTTTTCTGTAGTTCTCACCTTTAGTTTGATGGACATATATGCATTTTGTATAATCGGTAAAATAAAAGATAGAACCACATATTAATTAATAATAAATCAATTGTTAATGGAAATATTTTGGGTTATGAAATTCGTACTCCTCTATAATTAATTCGCCAACTGATTTCCCATAATCTCCCATAGGCACATTCTTGGAAAGTGGATTTTTTTCAATAAGTTCTAGAAAGAATTTTAAAAATATCTGGTCAGGAGGGGAGATTTTATAGGATGATCTTCTCTAATTTGGTAAGTTTTAGATTTCTTTTTTATTTTCCTTTTTTTTTCAGAATTATTTTAGGCCCAACTAGGGTTCTTCTCTAGCTTTAGATGTATATATAATTTTTTTTGTCTATTTTCTAGGTTTATATACACATATATATGCTATATGTTTTAGCCTTTCGATCGACATAAGATTTTCTTAATCATTGAAACATAGTGTTTTCTCCGTTCTTTGTTTTCTGCGGAACCATCTATAGATAATAGAAGGCTTCTTCATGGCATACTCCATTGTAAGAATCAACAAGGTATATTGAAAGTAGTTGTGATTCTCAGGTTCCTACCCTTCATGCCCGCTACGTGATGCTTTTTTGTTTTTCTTGGATGATACGGTGCATATGTTATTTGAAAGAACAAAAAAGAAAAAAAAAAAAAAACTTTTTGCAGCTGCATATGTCCTCACTCATGCATTTACACAGTTATACTAAAATATTGTTCTGTAACTAAACAATTTGGTACGTCATTTTTGCGCTACATGTATTTGTGTAATATTATTCTTTTTATAAACAACATCCAAATTACTCGTCGTGCACGGGAACATTAATCAAATATTATCTCTGCGTGTGTGTATTTTTCTCTATTGATATGAACTTACTGCATTAGAAAGTTAGATATGTTAATCCCATTCTTAAAGTCAGTAAAAGTACAGTCTTCTTTCCCCTTTGCACATAATCCTCTCACAACCAGGAGAAAGAATTTGTAATATACCTTAATCATATTGCTTATTATTTGGTCATGTGTTTTTTTATTGGTCTGAATGTGTTCATATTTGAAATTATAATGCAGGTTTTTCATCATTATCCGCAGGTGAAGAATATGAATACGCTTTCATCACATGTACCCCCAGGCTTTCGATTCCGTCCCACAGATGAAGAACTTGTTGATTATTATCTCAGAAAGAAGATTGCTTCGAAACTGATTGATTTTGATGTCATCAGAGATGTTGATCTTTATAAGATTGAGCCGTGGGATCTTGAAGGTACTTACTAATTAATTCATGGTTTGGTTATAATAAGCAAGCTCATCCGATTATCTTCTGATCATGTTTATTATAATGTTGAATTGGACAGACTTGTGCAAGATAGGAAGTGGTGATCAGAATGAATGGTACTTCTTTAGCCACAAAGATAAGAAGTACCCTACTGGAAGTCGTACAAATAGGGCAACGAAAGCCGGGTTTTGGAAAGCTACAGGAAGAGATAAGGCTATTTATAGAGGAGAAAAATTCCTCGTTGGGATGAGAAAGACCTTAGTCTTTTACAAAGGCCGTGCTCCTAATGGACAGAAGTCAGATTGGATCATGCATGAATATCGACTAGAAACTAGAGAAAATGGAACTCCTCAGGCAAGTATATCTTAATTTTTGTTTTTTTGTATCAAGCTATGAGCTTATTACATGTTACATGCTGAGCATTAGTTCCACATCGATTGTGCTAATTGCCTAGCTAATATATAAACTTAGAAAATATAGTTATATATATATATATTGACCCTTTCCACCGAATAATTTTTGTTTTTATTGGTATCGAATATGGTATCAAAGCTAAGCGTATCGATTACTACTAGGTTACTGGCATTAATATATCAAGCTTTTGCGTATTCTTTCCATGCATATCTAGAATTTAAGCAAGACAATCAAGTATTGGTTTGTTGCCGCTCATACCATGTATGCGCTGTACTTTTTTGACCGAACACAAGATTGATGAATTTGTGCGCCTCCACAATAAATATGTTTCTATACCTTAAAAGTGAAATTTCTAACATCAAATATTGTTATGATTGTACCGTGCAGGAAGAAGGATGGGCTGTGTGTAGGGTGTTCAAGAAAAAGTTGGCAGCCGTGAGCAGAATGGGAGATTACGTGTCACCAGATTGCTATGATCAAGTCTCATTCCTGCCACAACTTGATAACCCTCCAAGGACATCAATGTCCCGCACTTATGCATCGCAAAATGAGCAGCAGCTACACTATTCACAATGCAAGAAAGAGTTTGATTTGCAGTACAACATGCCACATCATCATCATGACTCTTTTCTCCAGCTCCCTCAATTGGAAAGCCCCAAAGTTCCTCATCAGTCAGCTACCCCATATGGTAATTGTGCTATGCAGTCTTCCACACTCACACAAGAGGAGCAATTTGCGCAATACATCTCCCAGCAAAATATGTTCAAATCATCGTCATCGCCATCGGTACATGCGCTTGACAACAACAATGATTATCTGGAAGCTGTTGATCAAGTGAAGGATTGGCGAGCCCTTGACAAGTATGTTGCGTCACAGCTCAGCCATGACCAGCAAGATGCTTCCAAGAAAGTAACAAATTACTCTCATGCAGAGGAAATATTTCATGTGGCTGAACACATTAATATGCTTGCCAATGACGCATCCAGAAGGCGAGACAATAATAATAACATTGGACAGGACTATGCCTCAATATCAACCTCTACTTTCCAAATTGATCTCTGGAAATGATCAAGAACATGAATATTACAGTAACTATTAGCCAATACATAATACTAATTAATCGTAGGAGGTACGGTACTTTAAAGGGATCGATATTTGAGTATTATTAATCCAGTTGCTGTACATAAGAAAACACAATTATGGTATTATTTTTACCTATTCGACTTTAAATTTGTGACTTTTTGTGTTGATGAATATATACTAGGGCAACTAGGTGGACCAATTATTTGATTAATTACAAAATAACTTAGTCAAGACTACTGTATACGTAGTACGGGACTACAATATTTGTTGAATGTATTTTGCCTTATTTCACGTGACTAATTCAAAGGGTACTTTAGTGAGTAAAACTCCTTTATTATTGTATACTCGATCAGATATATTGTACATAAAGTTGCAGCATGTGTTAATTGTGATCATGAGTATAGATATGTGCAGCTAGCATGACTGTATGTGTTGAAGTTGAATGATACCAATTTACAGGTTGTTATGCAAATTTTTACTGTTTCAGACTAGATGACTTAATTATTTGTGATATTTATTGATTGGAAATGCTTCTCGAATTGTATTTTAGCAAGGCCGGTTGGGAGCTGTTTATATTTTGTGCAATTAAAAGAGAAAATAAAAGGAAGACCACAACCAGAAGCTAGCCGTCCGGCGAGTTCTGTGTGTTGATTTAGTACTTGTCATGCCCGCCATTTGGAAGGGAGGTGGTGAAAAAGCATAGTGATTTGGGACGTCATATGCACGGCCGCTGAAAGATCTTTCACAGCCCTCTCAGCAGCACAAGTCAGCAGCTATAGATCAGTTAGACCACGCATGATTGATGGATTTAATTTGGTACTTATAGTCTGTTAGGCTATATATGTTAAATGAGTCAATACTTTGTACACTATTAAATCAGGATATATCGTTAATATATAAGCAAACGATTTTACAATTTGAGTTACATTTCACAGGAGATGTATCAATGAGAACCTAAATAATTAACGGTTCAGATCATATAATATATAAAGAGTAGGCCTAAACAATTGTTTAGCACGATATTATTACTAACTGGTTAAAGGGACTGAGAGGCTTTGTATTGAAAGCCTTTTAGTGAGCTGTTTTATTCTTCCATTTGGTAGGTCGAATAAGAAAGTCTTGAAGAGAAATCTTTTTGGATCTTTCACTATATGTATTGGTATCGTAGTCATACGCACTAACCTTTCCTGGCGAACTACTCTTACAATCCCCAATGGCTCTCCCTTCTCAATGCTATGGTTTTGGAATAGGTAATAAAAACTGCGCGCATTTGTGGTTTCCTTTCTGGTTGTAGTACACATTTGAGGAAGAGTTGCAGTTACTAGACAGTATAGAAGATGGTGACTTTGGTGCTATGCAAGACGATATATATGCAACGGTCAATTGATCTTTGGTGGCAAACCTCCAAGCAAATACTGATACATATAAAAAGTAATACAAATATGTTGCAGTGACTAATAAGGTTATAATTAGAATTTGCATGTCATGCATAACAAAAAGAAATTTTCTACTTGGCATACCTTGCAAAAAGATGACTCGATCGATCGAGCAGCAGAAGCTGTTCTTGAACAAGTGTGGTTCCGGCAGTACTAGAAAAGTTTCAAACATGCATGCAGCAGAACTGTGCTTATAAATTTAGTTATGGATAATCTCCCGCCTCAGCTTCCCAGCCAGCCAGCAGCAGGTTGAGCAACAAGTCTTGCAGATGTAGATTTGACGGACCGGCTCTGTTCATTTCAAATTTTACCCGGTGGGGGACGTGAGGGATGTAAATACCACGGAATAATGAGTGATAGATTGGGACATAGTAACAAGAATGAATATATGTGTAGATATAAAAGTATATATGGTTGCTATATGGAATATATATTGACCTAGCTAACTAACTGATCTTCTCTTACTTGAGTTGAAGTCAAGCATGGAGCTTCCTTTTAAGCAATTATTATTTTTTTCTCAGGGACTACATCATTGGGCGTGCTCTATTGGATTTATTTATAGTTAGAGAGAGAGAGAGAGAGAGAGAGAGAGAGAGAGAATGCTTGGGAAATGGACTCCTCAGAGAAGAAAAAGAAAAGCACAGGAAGTGAGTGCTTGTTTCTGACCAAGGTGGACGTTCTGAGTTCTTATACCTTTTTTTGTTGCGTCACTTAAGGTAAAAGAAACAGACTAAAAAAAGCATGTATTCATTGTATTATATATCAGCTGGCCTGCATATATATATGAGAGAGAGAGAGAGAGAGAGAGTGTTTGGTTTCAACCTGACCTGTATAGCCCTGGAAAATCCATATGCATGCAGTGTGTATCGTTGAATAATTAGGGTTTATTAAGAATGTTGTTTGTAGACTAAAATAAACATCATTATCTTTTTATTTGGTCAACAAAACAAACATAATTCACTACGTCAATTGTGAAACAACGGCATGTGAAGTAGCATCATTAATTGATCATGTGCTTCCTGAGACGTTTGCTAATTATTGATTCTGCCATTGCAACAAAATAAACATAAGTCACAAATTAGCTCCACAGTTCCCTGAGTCCGGACCTGCCTTTTACTACTTATTGATTCTTGCCCTTGACATATTTCTAAATCAGAATCTCATATGTGGTGCTCGGACGATGGGATAGAGTTATACTGAAATATTGATTCACCACACCCTCTTCTTTTTCATGCGCATTTTTCCTCTATTCAGTAAAAAACTGAAATCTAAATGGTCAAGAAACGAACCCTAGGGTACTTTACATGTAGATTGTCTTGAGCTTGCACTATGTCGTACGTGCATCTGTTGAGAATATGAATTATACATAAGAAAAAGAAGGTACTTCGCATGTACTTACTAGCTAGTTAGGCTACTGGAAAATCCTTCGGCAGCTCCTTCATATTGAGTACGTTACTTATATATAATAAGCGACATTAGGCTAGCTAGTAGTCCATTTTTGTTTGGGGTGTGCTATCCACACACCCCATTTTACTTCTTACACACCCTTTGATAATTTATGTCCGTTGATCTTCTTCAATTCATCCAATCCGACGGCAGAAAATTAAATAAGTGTGTGAGAAGTAAAATGGGATGTGTAGATATCACACCCCTTTTGTTTTCGTTTAGTGATGTCATTCTTTGTCATTGCTGATTGCAGCCTGTGGCATTTAGGTGGAATATATCTACAGAAATGTCGTAGTTCGTCGTCGTACGTAGCTTGATAATAGATACACTCTTTAATTTGTTTATCCAAACTTGCTATAGGGATTTGTTTGTAACTATGTCCTTCGCCCTATATGTTAAACAAAGTAGAGTTATTAAATATTAAAAAAAGCCCATATATAACTTTTATCTTTCTGTGGATTGCTATTGGTAAAAATTACACATACAAATAAATGCGTACGTACGTGTACATTTATATCATAATATATTATATATATATTCAATGTAGAAATACAAAACAATTATACCTTTTGATGGAGGCTAGGTTTATAGCTCCGTGCGACACACATGGGCAAAGAGGATGAGTTGATAGGAGAGGAGGAAACATCTGCTGATTGGAATAAGTCACGCTAGGACATGGAGGCCAACCAAAAAGGAGTCCAAATTGATGGATGTTTCGATAGCACTCTAGTCTCTGCTTTCTGATTTGGGTGGTATAATGTGTTGATGCAAGTTTGTCCACTTGAAGAAAGAGAAAAGTAAAGGGCAAGCAACTAATGAATTGGTTTCTTTAGCTGATGTGGTTTCAAACTTGACTTGTAGGAATACGAATATATATATATACAGGCTCTTCCCCACCACTTTCTTTTTTATTTAGTGTGTTCTATGCTTTTGTGACACTCCTCAACTTGCGAAAGCTACCTCTCATGCATCTGGCTACTTAATTTGCCTCTTTCTATATAAATTATGCATGGCTACTCTTTATAACTACATTTTTATTTTTATTTTTATTTTTAATTTATACTCAAAGCGATGGAGATATTTCATTAATAAGAACCTAACTAGTACAATACGTCTCTTATTATAAGTTATGTATGTCTACTCTTTATATCTACTTTTTTATTTTATTTTAATGCTTGATTTTTTTATACTCAAAGCGAGAAAGAGCTTTCATTAATAAGAAGTTAACCGGTACAATATGGTACCAAATAAGTGCAATTTGTCTAATGATCAATTTCACATGAAGATGATAGTACAAATTCACATAACTAATTTCACATAACAAATAATAAAGGCAAACCCCCACACGGCCACCACAACAACTAGAGACAATAGTACAAATTCACATGAAGATGATAGATATGACACGCTAGCAACCAATGCCCACGCAAAGCCAGTCGCTAAAACAGCAGGCCACATCAACCCCTTGAAGTGAGCACAACTACTCGTCGAAGAGATACAACCTGCAAAGCGGACAACGCAAAACACTAGCTCATTTACTAATCTGTAATTAGTTTGAGAGGAATTGAATTGAGCAGGAATTGGAACGGAGTGGAGTTAGAATCAAATTCCTGCTAAAGTTATTATTAAAATTGTCTAGAATCGGAGGATGAATGCTATTGATCCATATAAACTATTTACTAACTCACATAAATTCGGAATAAAATCAATGTGATCACTAAAATATCCTTATTTTAACTAATCTTTTTATATGCTAATTATTTTTAGTAAAACTTTTTTTATTTGTAGCTACAAAACAAATAAACAAAGCCATGCGCCCAAGGAGTGGGATGGGGTTGGCCAATGGAACTCTGATGCTTAAGTCAGTTTCTTTGAAAAGAAAGAGTTTAGGGCTTTGTTACATAGTAAAAGCTTACCAAAATTTGATGGAGAAATAAGGTATTTATAGATCTAGGGGCGGCCATGGAGGAGATAGATCTCGCTCCATGTGTTGTCATCTAGTTGGCCGAGGTATGTCATCCATATGATGGAGTAGGAAAGAATCATCTTAAAGATATTATTGAATAAACAATATCTTGAAATTATCTTGTGGAATCCTTGATTTAGTTTGATTGTGATTACTTGCTTGATTGAATTCAATTAGGAAAACATAAAAATAGGATTTGTTTATTAATCCTATGTTTAATTCCTTTAACTTTTCTCCTTGCCATGGGCATGAGAGCTTGGAGAAGTTGTAGTCAACAGCTCAGGTCTTCTTAAGGATTGAACTACGCGTGGAATGAATGTCAGGTTTACCAATTTAATGCAACATTCCCGTCACTTCTGAGTAAAAGTTCATGTGTCATTTTATGTATTGTTTTTTGTTCTACAATGCCCTCACACCTGTTGTGCTGC